CGACGAGAATACTTTTTGTGTGCAAAAACAAACAAAAATAACGACTTTATTTCAATTATTCACTTCCTTCTCTATGGGCCTGTAGTCAGTTAACGTAGAGTGATTGCGTAGAGCTACGTCACACGTAGGCTCACTATTGGCCGACGCTGGTCATGTGTGTGATGCGTGTGACGTACAATAACAGAAGCTTACGCTATTAAACTAGTAAACTGACTCGAGGCAGAGGGAGAAATAAATGAATAGTTGAAATAAAGTCGTTATTTTTGTTGTTTTTGCGCACAAAAGTGTTCTCGTCGTTTGATAAACTTAAGATTGAGCCCCTGTAGTCAGTATGCAGGAGTGATCTTAATATCTTAAATATCTTAATTTGTGTTCAGAAGATGAACGAAGGTCTTACGGGGTTGGAACAACACGAGGGTGAGTAAATACTGACAGAATTTTCATTTTTGGGTGAACTAACCCTTTAAAGTCCCTGATATCTGATAGTAATCACATCTGATAGTAATAATATTAGTTTTCTCAGGGGAAATCTTTGTGAGAGACCAAATCGGACATATTTATTTATTTAGAAGTTTCAGAACTTTGTAATACAAGCTAAAAAGCCAATGAATAGAGAAGCACTTTTTAAAAACAGTGCATGAAATCCTCAGACAGAAAAATCCAGTGGCAAAGACGTATTGTATCACAGGTTGTTTTGGTTTCATGTTCTTGTTTAATGTCTAAGTGGGTGGTGAAGGCACAGTGGATAAGACACATGCCATTGGTGTGAGAGACCCGGGTTGGAATCCATTGTGAGACACCAATGTGTCCCTGAGCAAGACACTTAACCCCTAGTTGCTCCAGAGGCGTGCGACCTCTGACATATATAGCAATTGTCAGTCGCTTTGGATAAAAGCGTCAGCTAAATGTAAACGTCAGGTTTCCTTTTGTCATGGGATTCCCTATTATATTCATGTGATCCTGCCAGTGCCATGTGTTCCCCATGTAAATGTGTCATGTTGGTTTATTGTCTAATCATGAGCACAGGTGTCCCTTGTCTTGTCATTATAGTGTATTTAAGCCTTCATGTTTGCCATGTGTCTTTGTCAAGGATTATTTTCTGTTTGGTGAGGTATGTTCAGAGTTCCATGACATGCCTTTGTTTTATGTTTGAGCATATTTTGCATAAAGCTTCTCTAAGCTTGCCTCCAGTGGATGTTGATTGCAGAATACTTGACCAACCAGGAACCCAGCAGCTGCCTGCCTTCGTCAAGGCAAACGGCCCATTGAGGATTATGTCAAGGACTTTAGTGAAGTCTGGCACCAGGTAAGCTTCAATGACGTCGCCCTCAAGGACATTTTTTGCAATGAACTTGTTCACTGGAATTGCAAGAAAGTGACATTCCTGGAACCCTAGCAGTGTATATTGACTTTGCTGTATTGATATACAGTTCCTCATTTACTGTACTGTGGGTTTTACGGAAGAGGAGCTCAGCAAACCCGCAGTATCCACTAAGCCTGAGTATCGTCTCGTCATGTCCCAAGATGGCCACCATTCCTGATGCCTCTGCCGAGATGGCCGCCACACCTGAGTCAGCTACGGGCGATGCAGCCCTGACAATTGTGGCAATGGCTATTGAGTGTGTGGGTCACAGACGCATCGACTCCAGCCCCTGGCCAGCGTTCAGAGGGGACTCCAGCACACAACCCCATAGCTCAGCCCATGAATTTTTTAGGGGTGCCATATTCCCAGCCATAGTGGCCAGGCTCCTTGGGCAGGGCTGCGAAGGCTGATCCGCCATGGCCCCCTGAGCCAGCCCAGGTCCGTCCAATTGGCAGCTGACTTGAAGCAGCCAGGTAAGAAATGTTGTTCAACTTGATACAGAGTCGACGCCACATGACTGTGAAGTATGCCATCAAAGTACGGCGAGAGCAGTTTGCACAAGCTCTAACAATGCATACCACGATTGGCCAGATTTGCCGAATGACGACAAGTTTTGTATTTATTCTCACACCTTTAGTTCCACTAATGCTCACAAATCAAAACAAAAACAAAAGTTTTATAACAGTAAAATCTCTTTTTAGGTAGTCGTGATTTTTATATTGTCATGTTCATCAAAATAAAACAGATTAAAAAACAGACTTCACTACAATGGGTTTTTAAAGGTGCAGTGTGGGATTTTTTTTTTTTAGCGGCATCTACCGGTTTGGTTGTGAGTTTGCACTAAGGGCTCAGCCCACTGCTCACCCCTCCCTTTCAAAGAAGCTACGGTGGCTAAAACGGGACAAACATATGAGAAAGCAGAGAATAGCCAGTGTAAGCCAAGAGTGTGTTACAATGTCACTGTTTCTGTATCATAGTTCATTATACACACATCATGGATGAAGTTTACAAAGCCATAGTCAGGTGAGGATCAAGGGTCTTAATATATAATAAAAATAGTAATCAGCTGATTGTCTCACAAACGTAACCAGCACATTTCTCCCCACATAGCAAACCCATAATACAGTGAGGGAGAAGAACCACAAGAAACTATGCAACTATATACGTCAAAGTGTAAAGACTAGTTTAAACTCGACACGTTTGCATGGGCCCAAAGGTGCGAGCGGCAAAAATGAAATGATTGTAACAGCGCGCTGTCACATGTCTGTCCTGTCATATATAGCACATGTGGTGTTTTGTGTTCCTGTCTCTGTCTTGACTCCTCCTTCCTTGTTATCTGATGATTGGTTAATTTGTCCCACCCGTTTTCCTCCTTACCCTCCTTGTTTGCTCTCCTATTTAGGCCCTTTTTACACGAGAACGCTCGCGGGTGAAAACATAAAAATATTTTATCGGATGTGCCTTTCGTTTACACGGCGACGGCGTTTTTGAGGCTTAAAAACGCAAAAAAGTGAAACCACCCTCCAGAGTGGAAATCTTATAAATGCTCCACCGCCGCAATCCCGTGTAAACGGTAACAATGCAAAAGTCTGCTTGACAGTGAAGGTTGTACGCAGACGCGTGGACTTAGTGTTGTTGTAGTATGCACTTCTAGCCGCCTGGAGTGCATACTACATTGAATTTCACACACTTTTGCGTCACCATTTGAATGTGGATTTCCCACACAAAACGCTCGTCTAAACGCAGAATAAAAAGTGATGTCGCAACGCCACTTTTGCGTTTTCTCGTCAGAATCGTTTCCGTCTAAACATAGCCTTAGTCTCCCTGTGTTTCTAGTCCTGGGCTGGTTCGTTGTTATGTTCCTCGTGTTTCCGGCTGTACCTGATTTATTATTTGTTAGTTTTTGTATTTATATTTATTTCATTACATCCTTATCCTGCACTTGAGTCCTTGATCCTTTCCATTATCCAGCCGTGACAGAACGAACCAGCCCTCTGCCCTGGCCGCCCGAGGGGTCGTCTGCTTCGCCCTGGCCGCCGGTTAAACCATCACCCCCTTTTTCTGTTCCCTTCCATGGACCTGGACCCCCATCCCTCCCCCTGATCCTCCACTGTGCCACCTCCCGCCTGGATTCTTATTTTGTATGTTACGTCTTAGAGCGTCTGGTAGCCGCTACTTAAGAAGGGGGTAATGTCACATGTCTGTCTTGTCATTTTGAAACTCTTCGTGATCGACTTAAAATGCTTCCAAGATCGACTTGTCGATCGCGATCGACGGGTTGGTGATTCCTGTAACATACTGTTTTACAGTCAATGACAAGAGTACTAATCAGCTGTCTCACGAATGTAACCAGCACATTATCCTCACATAGCAAAGTCATAACACAGCGAGGGAGAAGAACTAAGTCACATGAAACAATCCAACTACATATTTTACACCACTGACAAGGGAAAAGTCATTACTCACAGTGTCCATCACTCCGTAGTGCTGTTTGTTCGCTGTCGGCTATGGTACAAACATGACATCACAATATGTCGACCTTCATAGTAGGGGGTGCCCGCGGTTATGTAGACATAAATGTCTCATCTCAAGTTAAAAAAAAAACAAAAACAAAAAAAAAACATTACGTTTTTTAAGTAAGTTCTTTATACACCACTGAAAACATAGTTATGGATGTCATATTGCATTTCTGTTAATAGATACTCAGAATTTTTACACATTGCACCTTTAAATGGTATAGGCTTATTTTGAATGTTATTCTTGTACAAACAGACATTGTATTAAGCAGTACATACAAGTATTGAATGAAAATATCTCAAAGGCTGTGTATTTGACAAATATTGCATTTTTTCACGTGTCGCTGTCATCACCAACATTTATAGCGCTTTTAACAATCAATTGTTTCAAAGCAGCTGAACAGTGATAATAGGAAATTAAAGTAACTGATTGTTTTGACTTTACAGCAGCTCTAGAATAAAGTTATTGTCTAGGTAAAGTTAGTTTTGATTCACTTCTGTCGCTGTGGTAAAGTATGGAAACAAAGCACTAACGTCACTACGGGAAGCAGAAAGTGTCACGTCTCTGTTTTCAGCTCCTGTGCGCTGCAACTCTCGCCGATCGGTTACATCCAGCCGCAGCCAATGTCGAACACACCTCTTGTTTCATGTCTTGGTCATATTTCATTTTGTCATGTGATTCCCTGTTATAGTCATGTGTTCCCCATGAGAATGTGTCGTTTTCTGTGGTTTATTGTTTAATCAAGCACAGGTGTCCCTTGTCATTAGTCCTTGTGTGTATCTAAGCCCTCATGTTTGCCATGTGGCTTTGTCAAGTATTGTTTCCTTTTTCCAATGTTTGGTGAGTTCATGTTCCTTTGTTTTGTTTGATCATATTTTGCTGCACTTGGGTTTTCCTTGCCTCCAGACAGTGGATGTTGATTACAGATTGTATTCTTTGAATTAAAATAAACTCTTTTCCACTTTACGTTTACACCATGTGGCCTTTTATTTTGGGTGGTTTCTCTGTCATGACCTCAGCATTGAGTTGGCGCACATCTTATCTACGAGAAGATTAGGAAGTGCCAAAGGAGACAAGAAGCAGAAATATGACCAGTGGTAATGATAACAAACAGGCACGGTTTAAGGGATGACTTATTTAAATATATTCGGAATTTATGGGAATTTAAATCTTAAGAACTGCAATAAAACCCAGACATTGTAATAAAATGTGCAGCTCTAAAATACACATTGTCCTAACAAACATTATGGAAAATTGTAGTGCTGTACAATGAAATATTCCCCTCGCCCAGTTTTGACTTAATTGGTTGTTGGGACAACAGCAGCAAAACACTGAGTAAAGATTAAAAGGAGTAACGCCTTGAGTCACGTCTGGATATATTTAGTAGCATAAAGTAGGCTTTATAACACGAGGTAGTGGTACAGCCTCACTCATATGCTCAGATTCACTGCCTCTCCTATGTTCACCCAGCCATTTTCAAAAACGCACTTCTATATAATATTTAAAGTATGTTGTTCTCGAATAATTTAGTCCTAAATCATTTGGGAATTGCCTTATTGTTTTTCTCATGTTTAACAGTGAATCACATATTTATTTTGTGTAGATTTAGTTTCTTGGGCTGGATCCGAATGAATGGTCCTGATCTGATTGGATAACCAATACAGCACCCTATGGACAAAGAGAGATAAAATAAAACAACAAATTAGAATTTTGAATGGTATGTATGTAACTAAAATCAAAACAAAATATAATCCTTGTGCATAAAGAAAAAAATGTGCATAAGTCTAATGTTAGGACCACTAAGATTTGAAGACTTCAGATGCAAAAGTCTCTAAGTGCTATCTGAAATTTTCTTCTAGAATGATCCTTTTTATCAAGCTTGTATGTTTATGTTCAGTTATTATTTCACTTTAATGGCAATGAAAATCAATTATTTGTCATTAAAGTGAAATTACTGAACTTAAATAAACGAGCCTCATAAAAATGCTCATTTCAGAAGAAAATTTCATGTGGCTTTTGCATCTGAAGTCTTCATTTTTTTGCATAGTGTCAAACATTTCATGACCATAACACAGGCACATTTCCCACCAAATGTCCATTACTGTAATGCAGGGTTTCCCAAACGTTTAAAAAATAAAATAAAACAGTAGAAGAACACACACAATAACACAATGATGAAGGGAAACAGTCTTTAATAAATCCACAGGTATATCCACAAACAGAGAACAGAAATTCAACACAACTTAACCACAGATGAGACCAGACAGCAATGAACAGAAACAAAAGGAGCGTCCTGCCTCATCTGTCCTCATGTTAAGAGAAATCGAGAGTAAAGTGCAGAGGCATTTGAGTAAACAAAATGCTTACAGTAGTTCTAGAATTAATGTGAGCATTCAGTATTCCTCAAAATTAATCAAAACAGTGACACACAAACTATACTGTATATCTAAAATATTTTTCTTTCAGTCAATTTTTTCAAAAAGACTCGCTTGCTTTAGGTGATTTCTAAATGTTCAATAATTAAGTTGTTGATATAGAATCAGAAAGCCCATCTTTCTAATACAAATATTCTTTATGTAATTAATCTCACTTTTGTGCTGACATTCGATGATCCATTTCAACCATACCAATAAGCAAAAATGACTTCCCATAACCAAACATCACATTTGTGTTTTATTTTTTGATCTTCCCATTCTTCCGCAAATCCAGATTCCAGCACCAATCCATTTGTTTGACCTGCACCCTCTACTGCGCCCTCTACTGCACAAGCATGAATTTGCGTTTCCTTCAGCCTGAGGATTATTCATTTAATTTTTGGTGTGAAGGGCCTTTATATTTGACAAAAATGTACCTTTTTGTGGGTTTTGTTATTAAAAACTAAACATACAAATCCAGCCCAGGTGAGAAAAGGAATGCAAAAGCAATGTAACACATTACTTTCCATAAAAAGTAAGTAAATAATGCAATTAGCTACGTTTTTAGGGAGTATTGTAATATTTTAACACATTGATGCCCTTAATCGATATATGACAACCGTGAACAAGCGAATGTGTTATAATATTTGAAATATTAACTTACAGGGTATACTTCAAGGAAAGATTTTAGGGGTTCAGCTGACAAAAAAAAAGTTTGGGAATCCCTGCAGTAAGAATGTTTTAATTTTCAATAAAATTAAATATAGAATAACATAATAAAATAAAGTAAAATAATAACTTTAAAAAAATGAAATGAAATATTTATAGGAATTACACTGAATAATTATATTGAAAATGATTACCCAAGCGTAAGGAAGACCAGCAGAAACATTGCAGTCAGACAGGTGGTTAGAATGGCGGGCCTGGGCACCCACAAGGGGAATGGATCCTTAGGGGACAAGGGAGGGAACTGGCCTCCTGGTAGGAGAGCCTGTTCAAATACATCCTGTAGTTCTGCATGGCCTAACTGTTCCAGAGGGACCACTGAGGTGGAAACCACAGACATTTGGTATATAGAAATTGAGATCAGTAATAGAAACAGTAAAGGAAAGTCATTCTTTTTTTCATACGTGCTTGGTTACCTGTGAGGTAGTAGTAGATACGGACGAGAGAGTGCTCCTGAGAGAATATTTCACACTGGTAGGTGCCTGAGTGCTCTGGTCGGGCAGAGGAGATAAAGTAAAGTGGATCCACTCCAACCGTGACCTCATGAAACCGATCCATCAACATTGTCATCTCCTGTATGTCAAGTTCGGTGTTTGTTGTAAGTAAAAAGTATGGGAAGGAAAGGTTTAAAAAGTCTGAAAAGTGCTAAAACTTTTAGCAAATGGGACTATATAAAAAATCTAAAAATAATCCAATTATAGTTACAGTATATTTCCTGCAGAATTTACCAAAATTAGAGGGGGCTATATTATTTATATATATTGGTTACTTCTGCAGGAAACATATTGTAATTTTGTCTGCATTTAAATAAAAAAATAAAAAATAAAACAAAAACAAGATGATAATTAATTTATGACATACTGTAATTTTGAGTCCGTATTCTTTTTTTACATTATTGCTACATTCCGCTCTAATTTTGGTAAATTCCACAGCTTAAAATAAATTATTTATAATTTTTTATTTTATTATTAAAAATAAATAAATAAATAATGGATGGATGGATAGCCGGACTTACAATATTTTTATCTGGATAAAACACACTAGTAATTAATATTCGTTTTGCACATTGGCCATCTTAAACTTTGTTAGCTATGATGTCATGGTGATCAACTCCTCACTATTGCATGTCTCCAGATAATCTCTGCACCCGTGGGCAGCGGGAAAGGGACCTTACACCACATCTGAGTCATGTTGTTCTCTTGTACAGTGATTTCCTTCACTGTAAAACACATACATTACACACAAAAAAATACATTGGACACAGATCTGTATCACTTCACCTTGCAACTGAATGCCTTTTGTCAACAGAAGGACAGAGGCAGCACAGTCTGCCCACCATTCACCTAATTATAATATTTAAACAGAGCCTCTGGAGAGAGCAGCCAAGGGAAAGATACATTGAGCAGTAATTGTAGCTGTATTGAGTGGAAATGAATACCACAGTGTGTGGGAGAAGGCCTGCCATCTTAGGTGACCCACCATGTGTGTAAATGTGTCAAGGCCCAAGGTTTCGTTTAACAACTTCGCTGTGCGCTTAAGTAGAGTTAAAAGCTATAGATGTCTGCGCTGTGTACATGCCATCACATAATTACAGAGGTGGTTCTGTCAGGTTGAGTTATAACATATCCATCATGTCAAGTGTGGAGAGAGTAAGTGGGTGGGGGACTGCATAGAATTACACATCATAGTCGATTGAACAGAAAACTGTGCAGATGTAAAGGAGCCTGTCAACTCACCGGGGCAATCCAGCGGGAATTCACAGGAGTCGTACTGACAGGTCATGCAGTTATAAACAGCACCTTGCGCCTGGAAACCTAAGCAATACATTTCATTCCATTTATAATAACTTATTTTTGAAAACTGTATTTGAAAATCAAAAGGCATGTTTGTTTGGAGAAGAAGTGTAAGGAAGAGCTTCCACATTGCTATTATGAGAAGATCAACACAGTGGTGGAACTTTTTGATGCCATGCCACCTTAAAGGGTTAGTTCACCCAAATATGAAAATTCTGTCAGTATTTACTCACTCTCATGTTGTTCCAAACCTCTATGTGTTTATTTGTTCTGCTGAACACAAAGGAAGATATTTGGAAGAATGTTTTAATCAAACAGATCTCATTCCCCAGTGAAGTAAATGGGGATTGAGATCTGTTTGATTAAAACATTCTTCCAAATATCTTCCTTTGTGTTCAGCAGAACAAATAAACATATAGAGGTTTGGAACAACATGCGGGTGAGTAAATGCTGACAGAATTTTCGTTTTTGGGTGAACTAACCCTTTAAATGCATAAAGGTTCTCCAAAGGTTCCTGACAGTCTAGCAATCTGAGGCCTTGACCAAACTAATACGTTTTTTTTTTTTTTTTTGCTTGGAAAGCAAACTTTTCTCTTCACATTTTGGCCTTCCATCCACACATTTCAACATTTCACATTGCTGAGAATTTTCAGCAACAAATACAAAACTTTTTGAAAACGCTCTCCTAAGTGGATACATTTGAAAACTGTGTTTTTACGTTGTTGTGTGGACTGAGAAAACTGAGATATTTGAAAAAGATAGGGCAAGTATAGTCATGTAACATATTGAACTCATAGATATTCATGTTTATACCGGTATTGTGCCTGTGCAATTCACTTTCACACAGTTGCTAAAATATGTTACTTTGCACACTCTTGATATAACAGAAAATTCACTCGCATTTGTTGTCCTTCGGCAAAAAAATTTGAGTTGCGTTTTAGACAAAACATATAATGGTGAGGGAGAGCGACCTGCACGCATCAGTAAATGGTGACATATTTTGCTAAATAAAATGATCCTGCCAGAAGAATTGCGTGATAACTTGATTATGTCTTGTTCTGTCTGTATTATCAGTGAGCTTTTATGAGGGTTTACACATGCGATGTAGGTTCATTTTAGCTTTTTCCGACATTTCAGTGTGGATGAGAAACTTTTGGAAAATGAAATCTTTTCAAATCTATCCGGATTAGACGTAGCTCTGAAGACCATAAAATACTTCATATGTTTTCATCAGGAGGATTGAATAATTAAATATTAACCCCTTTTGAACTGATGACTGGAAGAGCAATGGTACCTCCTCATGCACCGCCACCGACGGGAACAGGAGTAGATTCTACTTTGTTCCAAGAAAGGTTACGACACTATCTTGCAATGCTGGGCAAAGCTACTAAAGACAATTATAAGAAAATGAGAAGCTTAACAGTAATGGGATGGAAAACACACCACTACTGACATTCAACACATTCCCGAAGCGGTTTTGTTATGATTAAATGTATTGCTAGGAAAGACTTAAAACCTCGATGGGAGGGACCATATGAGATACTCTTAACAACTGATACAAGTGTTTGCCTTGTATCAGTTGTAGGAAGGGTGTAGGAAAAGATAGATGGTATCATTGGTCACAAGTTAAACCTTGCTTAGTAAATGAACAAAATGACGATGATGGCTTATGGCCTGAGATTGAGCAATGTTCATCCATTAATTTTAAAGATCGGGAACAAAGAAGTGATGTTTAATTAATTTTCTGCTTCCATTTCAGGAATCAATTCTATTGACATTAGAGATGGTTGCAAGTTACCAATACCCAAAAACAATGGCATGCTTCCTTTTAATTTTACTTGGCATTTATCAAGGAAGCCAAGCTTTTGCTTATTCTACATGTTCACTCAGCATAGATGTTTCTATTGAGAAATGTAACATGTGTTTGTATGACATATGTTCCATTTTAAGTTTAAGCAACAAGTTTTGTTACCTTACAAGGCAGCTGAAAGTCTCTCTGTGATGTATATAAGCTCAACATGACTGTACTGACTCAGAGAAACACGGAAACCAGTGCAGTCTCGTCTTTTGACCATCAACATTCGCCGTTTTAGGGTAGTAGTCAGGTCCAAATCTCCAAGATTTTTGAGGAAAAGTTGTTATGCCACATTTTTAGAAAGTTCAATGTGTCCTGAATAAGGATCCACCGTATAACATTGAAATAAGGGTCCCTTTTTCTTGTAATTGTTATCGAAACAATAGGTGCATTATTCACAGCCGAAACACTACAGGTGGATAGGGTAAAATTTTTAAGTTATAGATACAACCATAACACTTTTCCAAGTTTTCAGTTATATAGATACAAAAATTTTTTCTATTACAAGTTTTCTGAAATGGTATGTTTACATATGCAAATGAGGCATTATCTATTAAAATATGTGCAAATTTGCATAATCTAAACTTTTATATCGGAATTTAAATGTTATGGCAGGGAAGTCTTACAACAAAAGAATTTGAGCCCACAAAATCACTCTGCAGGCCATGCGGAGGATTCTGTTGTTAACAAGCAGAATCACTGAAGGAAAAAGACGGAATTTAAAGTCACCATTATGGAGATGAGTGTTTGTTTTAGTTGGGCTCTTGACCCCCACATTATTAACTTTATATTTTGTCTGGCTGCTGTATCTGAGCTATAACAGGCAGATAATCAACTAGAAAATGTGATCTGTGGATGTTGTTTGTGTATTAACATTATCATAATATCAGTCATTTGACCTGAATCACTGAACTCATACAGAAGCAAATTTCTAAGTTAATTTTAACTTATGGATTATAGCAGCACTGCCATTGTACAGCATACATTTTTTTAGCCAATCCAAATTATCAACAAAAAAAAAAAGTATTTGTATGCATGCACACACAGGCATCAATATTTAGCGTATGGATCTCAGCAATAGTGACAAACAGATCACCTCTCAACATAAGCTCATTATTTATTCATACAGCAATTCATGATGGGAGCCATAAATGAGTTTTGATTGGTGGCACCCAGAATGCACTGCAACATGCTTTATAATAGTCACCACTGTTGAGATTCACAGGCAGATTCTTGATGTCTGTGTGAGCCTACATAAACTACTTTGTTTTTTAGAAGTTTCTTTTTCATTGATTTGATCATTTAGTTTCCTTTGAAATGGCTAAATGCTATAATCCATAAGGTAAACTTACTAGTGGCAGTGGCTCATGTAGGTTGTCTACAAACTGGAAGGTTGGTGGTTCAATCCCCAGTTCCACCTGACCAAGTGTCGAGATGTCATGTTTTAACATATAATGATTATGTTAAAACACATCCAACATCATCAGATCACCTTTTCTATGTGATCATCTGCCTGTTATACCTCACGTATAGCCAAACATAATCTAAAGTTAATAACGTGGCGGTCAAGAGTCCAACTCAAATAAACACTCATCTCCATAATGGTGACCTGAAATTCCAGTTTTCTCCTTCAGTGATTCTGCTTGTTATCATCAGGTGCCTTCAATAATGCTCAATCATCACTCAATTATTCACTTAATTATCTCATTAACTTTAACACTGCTTCAGTGTTCATTTAACACTCAGCTCAGAGTTTAATTGGATGGCTTAAAATGACTTCCATGATGTTGAAAATACATGAACAAATTATGTTTGTTTAACGAAACCCAGTTATGTGGAACTGGTGGAACCTGTTTACATAAAAAAGTTAAGTAAAGCCAATACCTCATTTTTTGAGTGCATTAAGCGCTCCCACTTCCAAGCTTTGGTCTGGCAGCAGGCCGGCCCACTTGCAGCAGTCAGTTCTGCCACCCCCTGAAACCATGGGATGGAAGACAGAAGGGAATTCCCTTACTCCCCAACTCATGTCACTACCCCCAGTTCCAGATGCCTGTGAGGAGTTAATCACCTGTGCCTGCACCACTGGGTGCAAGACAGCCCGATGCGGCTGCAAACGCAGAAAGTCCAATGATACTTGTATGAACGAATAACTTTACGAATATCTGTGATCACACAATTGTTGCTTGATTTCGTTGAAATTTCAGAGTTCCAGCAGCAATTTAAACATTAAAAACCGTCCCTTTCATGTTAATGTTGTTTTTTCATTGTTTACATGTTTAAATATTCTGAGAATGCACAGTTTAGTTCTAATGTTTAATGCAATAAATGCATGTTTTTTGGCAGCCATTTTGTTCTTATTGTTTATGCCAAAACAGTGATGTTTACAACTTGTTATACGGCAGAAATGGATTCAGCACCTAAAAATCATATAGAAACAACACTTGAAGTACTTTTCCTCAAAAATGCCTACTGCATCTTATCCATGGCTATTTATCTATTTTGGGACTCGACTTTACCCTTTAACGTTGGTTAGATGACGTTATCGGATCCTAACCCTACCCCAGACCTAAACCTATACCCCGTCACCTAACTGACGTTAAAGGTAAAGCGTCAGTTGTATGACGTCCCAGGATCGTCATGTAACTGACGTTAAAGGGTACCCTACAACGGCGGATGTTGACGTATGGTCAAAAGACATCCCAAGACGTCTTGGGATGAGACTGTGTTACGGAAACGAATAGACCTGGCATGAATACAACATCTTCTAATAGTTTCTCTCCTGACATACAAGAAAAAAGATTTTTCTTGGCAAGATCTGGTGTCCGGTCCCGTGAATCAAATAGCAACGGGGAAAAGGCTTAATTTCAAGTCTACAAGGATCATCACATAGATGTAACTCACCGCAAGGGGGGAAACATCCAGAAGCTGCAAGAAAAAAAAAAATGAATAAACATGTTTAGATACTGTATTATCCATGTAATAGGAATACTCAGATGGCTGGGTGAATCAAGTTTTAAGGCATGGAGAAACTATGAAGATAAGAGAGAAATGAGGAAATTGAGAGGCGAAAAGTAAGAGCTGCAGGTTTGAAGATGAAGGCTCAGGTCCAGTTTTTCATGGTTTAGCAAGCAAAAGAAATGAAGTGATAATGTAAGTCTCACCTCTGGGCAGCCTTGAGGCTGCTTCAATGAAATTGTTTGCTGCTGCCAGTAACCTGAACTCATAAACTGTATCTGGAAAAAGGGAGGAGAGGGGAGAAGAGAAACATTTATCTCAATTTCACTTGAAGTGTACATGTCAACTATTACATGTGTGTTCTATCAGGCTCTCTCACTGATATTTCATGTCAGTCTCTGTCTCTCTTTTCTGCTTTCCCCAGTGTGAAAGAAAGATGGGCTCACTGAACTTAATTATTGAACAATTAGAAAAATTTGACTGAAAACAAATCTGTATTTTCTCTCTACTTTGTTAAAACTTGTTATCAAACCAATGGAACTGACAGGTTTACAGCTTTACAACATCCAAATTCTTTCGTTTCTGGGTGCGGAAAGTGCAAGCAATCACTTCACATTTGTACACATCAGTTTTCAGAATATGTTATGTAAGAAACCGAGTCTAGGTCTGTTTATTCTCTGTAATCTCACACTGTTGGAGTGCACTGATAAGAGCGGCCTACACACATTTGCTATTTCATGAATAATGTCTGAAAGTAAACATTTACTCTGTTGTTATGGTTGTTGGTTATAGCCTAATTAATTGTCTGGTCTTAAACAAACAGTTATCACTTTGCTGGATATATTTATATGAATTAATCCGTTTACCGTTATTTGTCTGCTCATCAAATTCCTCCACTATAGGCATAATTTCAGCCATCAAGATATTATTCAGCATCACGTCATAGCCTCTTCCTGAGAACCAAATACAAAATAAGATCTGTACAAGAACATGTAAAAAATAAAAATAATAAAAGAAAAAAATAAAATACTAAATAAAAGAAAATTCATAAGAGAGCCAAGTTTACTTGCTGCCATAATTTTAAAGTAAAATTAAAGTGGACCAAAGTAACTTTTACACTTTTTCACCCCCATGTTGAATTTAATTTGGCAACTGATTTAGAAAACCTAGTACACATAGGCTATATCATCCCTGTTAAATACATAAATAAAGAAGTTAAACAGGATACATTTTAATCCTAAAACAAAGAGTGGAAAAACGTGAATGTGACCACTTCTATAATATATTTTGTTAGTTCGTTTTTGTAAGTTTGTGAGAGCTAATTTTTTGTTCAATTTGGAGATATTTATTTTTGTTAATTCCATTCATTATTTTTTAAACATGTCATAATAAAACATGTTGAGCTAACCTCTGAGAAATGTGAATTTGTGTAATATTACATTTTCTATCCATAGAGAGGAGGCATAGCCTACTTTAAATGTATTGAAATTAATAAAGACGGACTTTGAGTAAACTTCGAGTATCTGTTTGCCGGGCCGAGTGTCCTGTTTTTTGGTAACGTAATCAAAATATGGTCACCATAATGTAAACCGCTGCGGAAGGATATCATTTATTTATTTACTTAGTAAAGCATCTCAATAAATCAACATTTAATAATCGTAATTCGGTTGTTGGTATAGACACATATATATATTTTTTTAAAGCCAAAAGCGATCATGGTATTTTTTACAGTCTCTCACTAACGTTACCCACAAATAGCCTAACGTTGGCTTTGTGACTATGGTAACTTCACTAACGTAAGTTAGCGTTTGGCAATGCTTAGTTGAATAATACTAATATGTGATTTCTTAACTCTTACCTACTTTCCCTGCATCAGTTACTCTCGGTTCATTGTTGAATATGCTATCCAATGTTTTGAAACAAGAGTCCGGATTCCTTACATTGTATTGTGTAAGCATATAGCCCCAACACATACGAAGACTGTCATCGACATCGATAAAGCACTGATAACAATTCAAAGCTGTGCTAATAATCGAGCTGAAAAACAATAGCTTCACAATCAACAACAACATTTCTGTTATTAGGCTACTACTGTATTGTGTGTTTCTTCTCAACCTGCTTGAGAAGATAATATGAAACAAAACATCATAAGAAAATTCAGTTGAATGATTACATCATCATGACGAAATAGTTATAGCCCAGAGCCGTTGAAAAACGGTTTTCACCGGCTCTGCGTTAGCCCAGCAATACAGATGGTGATTGTTTGGTGATGATTTGTTTAAAAAAAGTTTTAAAAAAAAGTAGCTCAAACTAATACAAATAAAAAAAATCATTAGAAATAAAAGGAAAAACTCAAAAACCCCTGATTATAGGCTTATTTAGCTTTCTTAGAGGGATAGGCTATCAACCAAAATGGAGAATTCTGTCAACATACTCATTACCTTTCAAACTTGTGCAGCATTATTTTTTTTTTCTGTGGAACATAAAGGAAGGTATTTAGGGGAAAACTAGACTTCTATTGTAGCCTATGGAAAAAATAGGAACCGAAAACAGTTTGGTGACCAACATTTTTAAAATAAATCTCCTTTTGTGTTCCACATAAAACAATAAAGTCATGATATGAACGACGCGAGAGTGAGCAAATATTTTCATTTTTGGGTGAACTATCCCTTCAACATAGGCCTATTTGAGGCTTTGTCTTGATCATTCAATGTCTCCATGACAAAAGCAATATGCATGTGATGTTCATGGTGGTCTTGTGTAGTATTTCCCTACTATTTCTTGTTCCTAATTTACTCCATTGTCTTTTCAACCCTCTTCCTGCTCCCATTATGCACCATTTTGCTGCAAAGTGAAGGGATTGGGAGTGTGTGTGTGAAAGAGAGAGGGAGAGAGAGAAGGAATAAGGGAGGGAGAGGGTGATGCCTGTGTGCCTGTTGATGATAGTGGTGGGGTGCCGTGATATTGCAAATGATCCGAATTGACCGGAACAACGGGAAAAGAGCAGCAGACGAAAGAAAGGAAAAAGACAAAACATAGAATTACAATAATGAGACATTAGAAAAATCATAATTGCCATTTAAAATATATCAATATAAAGGTTGAAACGTATACATTTAAAAAAAACAAAAACAATATGGTAGGATGGGGAACGACTCCCAACATAGTCAATGTGTGTGTCTGAGAAATAGAGACTACCAATCAAGCCCACAAGCTCATTGCATCCCATATCCCACACCCCTCCCCCCATTCCATCACCCCCAAACACCCTCTCCTCCCTCCACCCCCTCTTCCCTGTCTTTTCCAAAGTGTCACCATGGTAACGAGACAGGGTGCCTAATACATGAAGTTAATATATTTCCAGTGGCAGGAGCGACTTGGGTACTAATGCATTCATCTGTCTCTCCAAAGACAAGGCAATCAATAGTGAGCAGGAGCCCCACCACAGGCCTGCCAGAGAAAAGACGTTGTAGTCAGTCAGTCAGGCTATAAGCAATGATCAGAAGACAGGTAGCATTGCGCCGCACTGTCCTGAGATGCTTATTCTACAGCTGGCCCTCCGACAGGAGGGCAGCAAGTCACAGAGGGTGTGCTGAAAAATTAACATATCATGGCGTGCCGGTGTCTCTTTTTTTCCAGGGTTCATTTTTCATTTGTGATTTTGAATGTGCATCACATGTGGGACAGTGACATTTTTCTACAATTTGAAATGTTATATTTTGTATTTATTGACAGCCATGATAGAAACCTTTGTCTAACATATTCCGATGTTGCTTTGTGGGGTTTAATTTGGATTCAACCCACGTTTTATTTGTATAATGCTATTCACAATACAAATTGTTTTACAGCAGCTTTGTTTCAATATAAAAAATGTGTTTGTCAAAGAAATGTCCATATGACAGTAGTATACAGCTATAATATAATACATGTTATGTGGTTAGTTAAAGCCATGCATTCTTTTAAGCAGATACAAACAAACATGTTAAGCAGCAATTGCAACTTGTGCTTTGAATGATTACATTATGAGGATTATATTTGACAGTTTTGTATGTTGATCCATAGTTGGCAAATTTCTTCTGCATCAATTTAAAAGAGGACCATTGATAAGTATTACCAATTATACTGTGTTGGAAAAAGGGGGGGTTGGACTGCATTGCGCTACTCAGATTCAGTAAAATTTTCATGCTCACTTCATTCAAGGTGTCAGTAAACGCGTAATAATTGCACCAAACAAAGCATTCCCCAGAGATAATTTGTGGAATATTAAATTTCTCTCTAATTAATGGATTTCGTTTTAAATAGCTCCATTGATAAGTATGAACAAATTATGCACACATTAATGTAAGAAAACTCATTGATATTTAGAAACAAGGTATGAGAGAATCAGACATAGGGGATAAGAGATAAGTATTGACATGAATTAACAACTCCGTCCATAAATATATCTGTCTTGTCTTGTCTTGTGTGTACTGAATGATAGTATGAGTGTTGATAATATTATGGGGTCACCACCCTTGGCTGTCTTCTCATTGGATCATTTCTTTGTGTAGAACACAAAGCCAGCCAATAGTGTGTGTCCCCAATAGTAACTACCTCAACTGGAGTACAATCTAAAAATATACAGAATAAAAACTCTAAATCTAAACATAAAACTGCTCTTTTTCATTATGTGTTTAACTGGGATCTGTAAATACAACTAAGACCGATTTAAAGACACAAAAAAGGCCAAATGTTTCTCCTTTGTTTGACTTTTTGGGACGACGGCGCATGCAGCCCTGTTCCTGAGGACCTCACCTGTGACCTAGTTTGACCTCACAGGTTAAGGGTCTCAGGGACAAAGAGACATACTGTGAAAAAACAGGACCATGTTGCTGGAATTAATGAACAATTACGTCGCTTTCAAAGACGCTTTCTTTTTACTGATGTCTTCAAAACCTCAAACATTTGTAGCACCTAGAAAAGGGGTCTCCGACTGCATCGCACTCATCAGATTTTCACCCTCACATTGTTCAGACAGTAAACACATAATGTTTGCACCAAACTGTGTTGTGTCAGTCATAATAAAACCATGGGGTGTTGTTGATGGGTACTTTTACTGCAATATGTTTCACCGCAGAGGCTGTAAGCACTGGCATCATCCTCTGCACTATTCTACCAGGAGTGGTAGTAAACCCTCATCTGCTTGAGGAGCTTTTCCTTTGAAAAAAATCAAAGGTACATTCGCCGACTCCTGAGACAAAGATAGGGGATTTCTCCGCAATATCACATTACAATCAGGAGAAAAACCAAGATCAAATAAAAGAAACGTACTCATTCTTAGTAAATCATTAAACAAAAAGCCATAAATCATCAACAAAAACAGCCAGAACCATGTTAACACTTGAACGGGACCTTCAGCTGAAGACACCAGGTAACATGAGGACATGGCTAAATGGAATACCTACAGCAACAATATGGGGAGGTAATCCAATTTCCCCCAAATGTCCAGGTGTTTGGATGAAACCTGTTAAGATAAAAATAATACATATATGAATATATACAATGTAAACATTTTAGAAGACTAAACAAGTGCTTAAATTAATATTAGACATATTCATCTTACACAGTGCACAAACTGCAAAAGGGGACCAGAAGGAGGTAAAATGGTGCAATAGTGCCCCTTCTAGGCAGACACCAGGTACAACTGACACAGTGACTGAGTGAGTGAGTAGACACCAAACTGTTCTTCAAATTCTTCATCTTGGCTATCACCAAATGGGGAAAGATTATCAATAATAAAAATGATACTTGCGCGAGTTGACAAACTGATTGAGACTAGACGGTTGTAGACATGCAATACTACAGACTGTACACAGACTAGGAAATATTTTGACGATAAAATATTTCTCAAACATCAGTATCATGAATTATGAAAACGACTGCAGCAGTAGTTAGACCCACAGTGTTAATAAACCAAACAAGCGTACCTCAAAGATCACTCTATCTAGCCGTTAGACAAACATCATCTGTTTTGCATAAATGCATGTGCACAGGTGTGTCAATCACAAGCGCTACAATAAACTGTCCACGACAAATACAAGCCTAGTCTGATGTGCCAAAAACAAAAAAGAAAAAACGCATGATGATGTAGCAGGGCGAATGGCAAAAATCCAAAAGGAGATATACTACCTTATCGTGGCATCTGGAACATGCAGACTTTGACAATGTCAACCTTTGCGGCGACAAAATAGTCTGTCGAAACTAAGCAAATAAGACGAAAAAACAGCTTGCGTGCAGCATAAAGGATGCGGAAATGTGTCTGACTCGGAAAAGTTAAACCTGATGAGACAAAGACAAACTGAAACAAAAACGGAAAACGAGAAAACGTCCATTCCACTTTCTATAGGTCCAATCTAAGTGTCTGGTCATCTCTCCCTCTTTCTCTGGAAAGAGAAAAAAACAGTCAGGCAGCCAGCCAGACACAGACAATGAGCTCACATGCAGGTAGAGCAAATACAATCACACTGATCCCATAGGTAGCACACAACCTACCTCCCCTACAGCACCATGAGCCCCTCAGACTGTGTCCTCCCTGTCAGACAGACACTCTCTCTCTCTCTCTCTCTCTCTCACACACACACACACACACACACTTTCTGCCTTTGAGTCTTCCATCACTCTCTCTCTCTTCTCAGCATCTCAAGCACTCACATCCCTTGTCCCCAATCTCAAACTCTCGCCTTTTTCCTCTCAATCCCTCTCTAGCCTACAACATCCCTATTCTCTCTCTCTCTCGCTTTCCTTCGCTCACGTTTTTTCAGGCATCGTGTCTCCGTTACTACCCCTGCCCCCCCTTCTTTCGCAGTCTGTGCGCTCGTGTGTGCATGCGTCTGAGAGAGGAAATGTGTGTGAGAGACAGCGGGAGCAGGGAGGGGGCAAAGGGGAGAGGAGAAGAGAGTCGAGAGTAGGAAGGAATGGGAAACGAAGGGGGAGGGTCAGAATCTCAAACAGGGTGAAAAGCCACAGAGCATCAGGCTAGCAAAATGATAAAGCGCTGGAAAATATTACTCCCTGCGTTTGCCGCAATCTTGTGTTAATCAATCTGCCCGTACGCCTCATCAGATTACGCTCCGTCTCCCTGACGTGCCGCACGGCTACATCGGTACAGCAAATCGGCTATAGCTACTTGTTCACTGATGTGTTCGCATAATACTACATACATTTTTCAGCACCCAAAGCTTCACATTTCATGCGTTTGAATAAACTCGCAGCAGATTAAAAGGACAGTTCATGCAAAAAATATATATAATTCTGTCCTCATTTCCAAACCCGTTTGACTTTCTTTGTTCTGCGCGACACAAAAAGAAGAAAAAATCTAGTTGGTGATCAATTTGATCTGAATTTCTACGACTAAATGCTCCATTGTCCTCTCATGGCCTCTTTAGCCGGCCACACTCCAGTCGCACAGCCTCAGTTTAAACATGATTTATGATATGCTGGTACAGTGAGTGGGGGTGGCTACTCATTTTGCTTTGAGAGCGAACAGTAACAAAGACAAAGATAGGCGCAAATATATAACCCCTTTCTCGTGCCATCACAACCAGCGAGTACGAAAGCCCCTAGTTCCAGAGCCAAAATGTCGGCTGCAGACATCATTATTAGTACAGTGTGGGATAAAGACGTTCAGACACTGATGCCCTGGAACATAAAAGGGCCCACTAGTATGGATCGGCTGTACATTAGCTTATTCAAAGGGAATGCTTAATAACCTCCATTTCCACAACACAGAGGGATGACAACAGCTGTTATTAGTGTTGCTGACTGCAGGGCAGGCAGTCTAGGAGATATTTGCAAAAGCTTGTGCTTTATCTGATTTTCTTTCTTGTTCATTTGCAAGTACAGTATATCGCCTCTCCTTTCGCCTTTATATATTCCCTGTACTTATTGTATTGTTTTACATCTCTTCTTTTACTTTGGACTGCTTTCTGTCTCCGTGTGCACGGATGCTCCAATGCTGTCCAGTGCACTGCATGCCTGCAGTAAGGGAGCACAATGAGACAAAGCGCTGAGGTTCTTGCTGGAGGAATGACGTCACCGTGCTCGGTGCAGGTCTCCCCATTTCAGAGCCCGGATGGCCACACTTTCAAGTCACTCTCTCTCAATTGAACCGCTCATCACGTGGCAAGACATCTGCTTCCTCGAGTCCTGCTTCCAAATTTTCAGGAAAATTTCCACTCAGGTTTAAGTTGAATGATCGCACTACAGTATAGGAAAGAATGGGGTTAGTTAGGGCTCTAGTTAACATTATTTTTCAAGGTGAATAGGTTTATTATGGCAAAGCTGAATTTTCAGCATCATTACTCTAGTCTTCAGTGTCGCATGATCCTTCAGAAATCATTTTAATATGCTGATTTGATGTTCAAGGAACTTTTCTTATTATCAATGTTGGAAAGAGCTGTGCTGCTTAATATTTTTTTTTTTTGTGGAAACTGTGGAATTTATTTTTCAGGATTCTATGATGAATAGAAAGTTGATGAATAGAATTATAAATGTTTTATTGTCACTTTTGATTAATTTAATGTGTCCTTGCTTAATATCAGTATTTTTTAATAATAACTCAAACACAACTTTTGAAAGGTAGTGATGAACATCTAGTCTAGAAATAAAATGTTAAATACACCATTCAAAAACAATAAGGAATTAATACATTTTATAAAAGTGTAACATTTAAAACATGAGATAACCAGCTCCAATATATTTTTGGGATGTTTCAAAAAAAACATTGTGCTTAAAAAAGTTCAAATCTACCTTAATTCTAAAATATGTATACTGGTGTGGTTAAATTGTGTATACTGAAGCTAATAAAATAATAAATTATATGCATAAAAATAATTTAAAATCAACAAGTTTGAAACCAACACACAAAACCACTACTGGAAAAACACATTTTAGTAACTGTATTTTGGACTTGAACCTTATCATTATAGATACATCCATTGGGACAACTTTCTCTGGTTTCCCCTGGCCTTTACCAATAATTTTACATGTGCAGCTGATCTGAGCAATGGTAATAGAGCAGTGAAAATGGGTGAAGGGTAGGAAAATTAAAGCAAATATGAGGGCAGAACTCGCACGGCAATGGAGAACAGACAAGCGAAATATATCATTATAACACATACTATTATGGTGTGTGAATTAATCCTTAATACAACAGAAACTATCGGCATCTGACCACAGAACCTCTCAGCACCCCACCAGAAGGATAAATGCTGATACATGCCCTTTTTCCCACCCCATAGAGACAGAGTGAGGGAGAAAGAGAATAAAAAGAAAGAGAGGGAGACAGAGGGGGAGTAAAAGAGAGCTACAACGCAATGCGGATGCTGGCTGTCTGAGCCACCAGCCAGACACACAGGGGGAGATGGGGAGGAGGAGGATGGGGTGACTTGGATGGTGATGCAGAGATAGGAGGCACAAACAAATAAACATAAACAAGCAGCAAACGCTTTTTGCTTTGTTAAATGCTTCTGTAGTTTCTGAGTGAGAAAAAAAAAAGTTCACTCATAATTTCATACCAGTAGCCTATTCTTCAGTTAGAAATGACTATCATCAGAAAATAAATCATCCGTCTGATATTAAATATGTAATCCAATAAACGTTTAATTATAAAAGATTAAAAAAGCATGATCTGGAAGTCTTGGGTATCAGACATATTTTATCTAATTGGATGCCAGTGGCAATAAATCAGAACTAAAATGTCCTCAGCATTTCTATAGAGCTGATACATGCGCAAAGCCGCATACCATTGATGTGAGAAAAATTAATTTTTATGAATGCGTTGCTTTTCAATTTAAATATGATACAGAAGGCCTGCTGCTTTTGTGTCGTTTACATTCCTCAGCCACCACCAGACAAAAGAATGACTTTGACTTCAACAACATGCATACAACCTTAAAGTACATGCTGCTGAAGTGTCCAATGTATGATAAAAAAAGCTTCTGTCTTTGGTAGTGCATGCACTTATAGAGATTTGAGCATCATGTGTTAAAAGATGTACAGTGGGATGCAGGAGTACCATTTCAAATTTGAAATGTAAAATTAACTTTCCACAAGTAAAACCCGATGATCGTGTTCTCATGCATGATTTGACAATGATCCAAAGACCATCTTGAGCTTCACCAACATTTGACTGGCTGTACAAAAGTTCACTTCACAAATTTGCATATTTGATTTGTGACCTAAAATTGAGCAGATTCTTTATTATTTCTGATTCATTCTAGATCAAACTGTTTTGTTGTAGTACATTTTTCATAATCCTACAAATTTGTTTACTTCCAGATTTTAAATGAGAGTTTGAATCCCTGATGCTCAATCTGGGACTCCCAGCAGGTCTTTAACAAGTCACATATCCACTACATAAGCCTAACTGAAGCATTGCTCCTGGCTGTCCACATGAGCTCATCCCATGCTGCTTCTGCCGTCATAGTGGGTTCTGATAGCCGTAAGCGTGCAGCCGCAGGGAAA